CAGTCTGACATTTTACATCCATTTCAATATCTGCCCTTGAATGCATTCAGTGCTTTCCATTTCTTATTTAAGTCACTGTTTTACTGCAACTCCGTCTTTCTCATTACCACCTCCAATACACATCAGTCAATGCAGACATCGGAGTACGACCATGCAGGAGTATCAACAGATCCAAACTTGCCCTTGGTAGGGCACTGTGGGAAGGAATTCTAATTAAGGTTGCACTTTCTTCCGATTAGTATTCCAAGTTCATCATATAGTACAATCTTCTGAATTAGTCCATTTGACATAAATTAATTATAATGTAAAGAATCTACCCTGACCTTTTTCAAGGGGACTTGAAACTTTTGTAATCAATTTAAACCAAGATTTTGTCATTTAGTGGACTGGAGATCATACCATTTGAAAAAATTTATAATCACTGAGTTGACATAATTCTTCTTTTTTGTTTTGTGAACAATCAGGCTGTTCTCTCCAGTTAAAAACATCTAAATACAGACAAGATTCTCCCAGCCACTTCTCCACCATTGTATCAGTTCCAGTGATACAAGATTTCAAAACAGAGCTTCTGAATTGTCCTTTTTCTTTCTGCCCTGTGGACATGGCCACCAATCATGTTTGCCACACTTCCCGCACTTCACTCAACTGTTACTCTGTCTCCCAGAAGGCCGAGAGGGCACACTTTGTAATCACTTTCCATCCCACCAAACACCATATTCAAATGGATGGTGTCACTATCCATTATCTTCAACTTGATGCCACCACCAAACATCTTGTCCCGTCCCCGTCCCCTTTCAGTATTCCAAAAAGGAGCATTCCCTCCTTGATGCCCTGGTCCTCTACTCAGACGTAACACCCCTTCTAGAAATGCAGAAATAACACCAATTCCTTCACGTCCTCTCATCTCACCATCCACAGCCCCAAAATACTCCATATGAGTGAAGCAATTTGCCACTCAAGATGTGGACTCCTCTACACTATGGAGACCAAATGCAGACTGGGCGATCACATCGCAGAACACTCCCATTCCAAATGCAATCAAGAGCGTCATGCTTCTGGACCCGGTCATTGTAATTCACCACCTCACCCTCATGTTTTGATTGAGCGTTGCATCAAGAAGACCAACAAAAATTGAAGCTAATTGGGAATTCTGAAACCTTCCCATTGGTTGCAGTCATGACCTAGTAAAAAGAAAATGGTTGCAGTGTTGAAGGCCAATCAGTTTAGTCCCAGGATATCATGACAGAAGTTCCTAAGGGTAGTTACCTAGACATAACCATCTTCAGCTGCTTCAATGACATTTCTTCCATCATATGGTCTGACGGGAACAATTGCATCCTGTTCAGCACCAATTATGACTCCACAGATAGTGAAGCTGTCCATGCCTACTTTTAGAAACACAGACAACATGCAGGCTAGAGCTAACAAGTGACAAGCAAAAATTTTTGTTACACAAGTGCCACACAGTGACTACATCCAATTAGGAGAATCTAACCTTCACCCTCTTGACATTCAATGACATTAATGTCACTGAACCCCCAACTAACAACACTACAATTCACCAGGAACTGAACTGGACCAGCCATCTAATACTATAGATATAACAGCAGGTCAGGAATTCATGAGTAAACTCACTTCCTGACTCCACCAATTCATTCCGCCATCTACAATGCACAAGCTGGAGTGGAGGTGCCGGTGTTGGCTTGGGGTGGACAAAGTCAGAAATCACATGACAACAGGTCATAGTCCAACAGGTTTCTTTGGAATCTCAAGCTTTTGGTGCACAGACTCTTCGTCAGGTGCAGTGGGAGAGCAAGGCAGACAGATACAGAGTTCATAGGCAGAGAAACCAAAAGATGATACAACTGGCGTAAGTGGAGTGTCACATAATATCTCTGCAGATGACCAAGAGTGTTAGATGCTATGTAAAATGTTAAGAAAGTCAATGTCAGTGCTGTGCTGTCTTGATAATCAGGCAAAGCCATACGAATATACAAAAGGTGACATGTCAGGTCAGACACTGAATTGTCGGTGTGAGGCTTTGTTCAGAATCTGTCTCAGAGTTTTAGTCTGGAATCAGACTGGTTTCATTCCAAAAGCTGGAATTTATAAGATGCCACACTCACTGACTGTGACTACAAATTGTGTGTTTTTGAACAAAATATAATGTATCTGCAAATAAACAAACATCTTGGATGAAATGTTTCATCCCATAGAGTTAGATGTGCGTGTGACAAAAGGAAAGGGAGGAGGTGCGCACCTGCAGGAGTCACAGGGCACATGTGTGCGCGCATGCGCGCGTGCGTGCAGGAAAGACAGTGAAAAACAGAGAAAGCGTGTGAGAGTGTGCACGCGTCAGAGAGAGGAGAGTGATAAGTAATTCAAAACTGTACAACTAATTAAGGTAGAGGGGTAGAAAAGTTTCGTACCCATGAAGGCAGCCTCAATCGTGATCTTGGGTTCATGTCATGCGACAGGTGACCCCAAAATTCTGTTCTGTATCTGTAAAATCTTCCCTGGTTTCCTGTTTTGACAGCATCACCTTGATAAATTGTTATGACCTCTCAACCTTAGTTTGTACAGTTTTGAATTACTTAGCTCTCACGCACTCACAAATATCTATGGAGTGAATCATTTCATCCAAGATGTTTGTGTATTTGCAAAAACACACAATTTGTAGTCATAGTCAGTGAGTGTGGCATCTTATAAATTCCAGCTTTTGGAATAAAACCAGCCTGATTCCAGGTTAAAACTCAGACAGATTCTGAGCAAAGCCCCACACCTACAATTCAGTGTCTGACCTGACATGTCACCTTTTGTGTATTCCTATGGCTCTGCCTCATTGTCATTGACTTACTAAACACTTTACACACCGTCTAAAACCCTTGGTCACCTGCAGAGACATATTATCTGAAACTCCACTCAAACCAGTTGTATCATCTTTTGATCTCTCTGGCTATAAACTGTGTGTCTGTGTGTTTTGCTGTCCCACTGCACCTGACAAAGGCACCGCGCTCCAAAAGCTTGTGAGATTCCAAATAAACCTGTTGGACTATAACCTGTTGTCATGTGACTTTTGATGAAAAGTCAGGAGTGTGATAGAATATTCTCCACTTGCCTGGATGAGTGCCGTTCCAATGATATTCAAAAAGACTGACACTATTCAAGACAAAGTCGCCTACTTGGGTGGCATCCTGTCCAACATCTTCAACATGCACTCCTTCACCACCAACGCTGTGGCAGAAATGTGCCCCATCTCCAAAAATGCAGTGAACAACTCAACAAAGCTCCTTTGACAGCAACTCCCAAAATCCACAACCTCGAAAAAAGGGACAAGGGCAACATTTTTTTACTTCACTGATGGATATGGGCGTCGTTGGCTGGGCCAGCATTTCTTGCCAGCCTCCAGTTGCCTGAAAGGAAGTGGTGATGAGCTGTCTTCTTGAACTGCTCCAGTCCACATGCTGTGGGTTAACCCACAATGCTCTTAGGGAGGGAATTCCAGGAATTTGACCCAGTGACAGTAAATGATTTTGAGGGGATGCACGGAAATACCACCATCTGCAAGTTCCCCTCCATGTGATACCGATGTCTTGGAATATATGGATCCAAGTCATATCACCATTCCTTCACTGTCACTTGGTTAAAGTTCTGGAATTCCCTCCTAACAGCACCTTAGGTTTACTTATACCACACAAAGTGCAGCAGTTCAATTTGATGACTCACCATTCTAAGGATGGATAATGGCTCCTACACCCTATTATTTTCTTTTTAAATTCTGACATCTGTCCTTGGCCTGCTGCACTGGGCAAGTGAGGATCAATTTAAGGTTCAGGATCAGCACTTCATCTTTCAACTAGGCACTGTACAGCCTTCTGGACTCAGACTGAGAAATTCAACTATTTCAGATAGTAAACTATTTCTATTTCCTTTTGGCCAATAGCACACCTCCTCTATGCACATCTTTTTATGTCTTCCTTTGTCCCACCTCCATTCCATTCAGTTCTGGAGGACAACTTTTCTCTCCTACCTTTCACCCAATCACAAACTTTGCTTTTGTCCTAATTCCACACACGCTTTGATCAAAATCTATTACATCTTTACCTTTTCCTGATTCTCATGAAAGATCAAGGATCTGAAATATTACCTCTGCTTCTCCCTCAACACAGATGTTTACTAACCTGCTAGAGCTCTTTTCCAGCATTCTCTGATTATGTTGCAACGCATTACTGATCAGTCTCCAACTTACAGTTTCCCAAGTGTGAGCTTATCCAGACTCTGCTGTCCATATTCTAAACTGCGCTAATTCCTGATCTACCCTCTGCTTTCAGCACTACGTTGGCCGTCTGTCTGGCAAAAACAAGATTTTAACATTCTCAATCTTGGTTTTCAAATTCCCTCTCATGTCCTGTCCCTTTGTATTACTGCGACTCTCCATATTCTTCTGAACTAGTCCCTAAAACATGCATAAATGCTCCACCATTGTTGGCCATACCTGCAGCCGTGTAGGCTCAAAGCCCTGGAATTCACTCTATAATTCTCTCTCCTTCTTTAAGACGCAAGTTAAAGCTTACCTCTTTGACTAAATGTTTGTTCATGTTTGGATGCCGATGTTTCAGTGCCAAATTTTGTTTGATATCAATCACGAAGTATCTTGAGGCACATCATTACTTTAAAGATACCAGTGTAAACGTACGTTGGCAGCATTGTCGTGACACAGATGAACACAGTTTCACTTGCACAGTGTCAGCAAATTGATTTTGTTTTTGTCATTTTAATTTGTTTGAGTGTTATATGTTGCAGACAAGTGGTCTTACATACCATCTTCAGGCAGGACCTTTAGGAACCATGATCGGATGCCCTCAATAACTGAGTATTGTCACAAATTGTAGATACAATGCAGACAAATGTAGTCAAGATGCTCCACAGGCACTTTGTGAACTTATCCAACGGTTTGTTTGAAACTTGTCACTGAGGAGTTTTCTTCATATTCTGGGACCAACTTCTGTTCGTTAAATATCGTTATCCATTGAGGCATTTTAAGTGAGATCATGACCTATCAAGAAAGGCTTTGACAAATTTGCCAACAGCAGATGATTCTGACTTAACATATACAGAGTGATGATGAGAAAAATTATGTTAGGTACCCCAGTGGCTACTACAATTAGAAAACGTGCCTTGCTGTGCACATTTTCCTCAACCAAAGTGGATGTCAAACATATTTCAGAATCTCCAACAGATCTGGCTCTTTCAAAATAGCAGTGCCAACCTTTTCAATCACTAGATCACTTTTTGAATTTAAGTACAGCCAGGGTCAATCTGAAGAAAATATAGAATGAAGAATCTATTTTAGTGCTTGGTAAATCTAAAACCAAATATGTATAATTATTAATCAAGTCCTCTGCTCATCAAATCTCAGTGTGACACCTGTGACTGCATAATATCTATCAATTCCTTCAAGTCTGGGTTGTAGTTTATGCCTGGAGTTGTTTACAGTCCATCAAATGGGTTTGAGGGGTGGGTGAGATGTTAGGGCTTGATTACCTTTGTTTGGGAAAACACTGTCTCCACTTTGAAATAAGCATTCACTTTTAAAAGCACAGAATGATAGAAATGGGTACTTTCTCTGTTTAAATCCCCAAAAACTGCTGTTCCTTGATTGGACTTTCAACTCAAAACCATTTTGCATGGTAATTAACTCTACGTCAAGTCCATTGCTTTGTAAATCAAACACCTAATGCAATTTGATGATCACTTCACCAATGTCTACTT